GTTTTTGGGGCTTCAGCAAGCGCCAGCCTGGCCGAGAAGCCTCCGGCACCAGTGCCTCCCAGTCCCAAACTGGTTCAGGACTGTACAGACCTGCTCCCTGTTTGCACCCCGTTCCCCAGTTGCCTTCCCCGGCCTCCAGCTCTCCAACCGGCTTTTCCTGCTGGAAAAACCCTCTCCCAGAAGGAACCGGCCCTGGTGACAGTCCGGCTGGAGGGACAGCCAGGCTGGGGACCTGGGGATGTCCCAGCGGCTCCCCGGGGGCCTTTGGGAACCCCCCCCGGGAGGGCCCCAGCCGCCAGCAGGACGGGCAGCAGGGCTGGGCTTGTCCCAGACATTTCTGTCCCCTCTCAGTGAATTCCTCAAATCTCAAGTTACATTTCCCATGTGGGGAGGCGAGACACACAGGGCTCCTGGGTCACCCTTCCTCCTCCTGCCTGGTCCTGCTTCCCTCTGGAGCTGATCTCGACTTCTATTTATTTTTATTGCTATTATTTCTATTTATATCATTTTTACTGTTCTGTTTTCTGTTTCTCCTACTCCTTTTCCTATTCCTAATCCTAGTTGTAATAATTCTACTTCTTACTTCTGTTTCTCTTATGTCTCCTATTCCTATTCTATCATTCTATTTCTAATTTGTATTTCTATTTCTCCTATTCGTTTTCCTTTTCCTAATTCCTATTCCCATTCCCATTCCTATTCCTACTCCTATTCCCATTCCCATTCCTATTCCTAATTCCTATTCCCATTCCCATTCCCATTCCCAATTCCTATTCCCATTCCCATTCCTATTCCTACTCCTATTCCCATTCCCATTCCTATTCCTACTCCTATTCCCATTCCCATTCCTATTCCTATTCCCATTCCCATTCCTATTCCTATTCCCATTCCCATTCCTATTCCCATTCCCATTCCCATTCCTACTCCTATTCCTATTCCCATTCCCATTCCTACTCCTATTCCTATTCCCATTCCCATTCCTACTCCTATTCCTATTCCCATTCCCATTCCTACTCCTATTCCTATTCCCATTCCCATTCCCATTCCTATTCCTATTCCCATTCCTATTCCTACTCCTGTTCCTATTCCTATTCCCATTCCCATTCCTATTCCCAGTTCTTCCCTTCTATATCCATTCTGCTCACATTTTACGCTCTTTTCCTACTTTCTCGCGGCCCCGGCGGTGCCGGCAGAGCCGGGACTCGAACCCGGGTCCCCTCGGGGGCGCAGTTCCTGCTGCAGCCGCCAGGTGGCGCCATTGCACTGCGCTGCGCTTGGGGGGCGACGAGGGGACAATCCCGGGGGGGG